CGTTGAAATAAAATACAATATTTGTTTAAATGATAAAAATAATTTCTCATAGTAATTGTATTAAATATCTTCTGAATATGCATAGATGATATATTATCTTCTGAATATGCAGAAGGGGAAGGACCGCAGGTGCGGAGTTTTGGCCGCATCTGCGCAAGCGCAGAAGCGAAGCGTTGGGCACAGAAGCGGGAGAAGGCGCAAGAGCGGAAGGGGGCTCGCACCTGCGATGTCACAGAAGCGGGGAATATTTTCGCAGGTGCGAGGCATCGTGTGTAACATCCCAGACTTTAGACAGAGTCCCACATCGGCAAAACACAAGAGAGATGCTGAGTATATAAGTTAACAAGTCTTATACCCTAGTGACACGTTTTAAACCCGTGAGGGCCCAGACATAGAGCGGACAATATTACTAGCGAGCTGGGCTGTTACAGATGGTATCAGAGCGTCAGGTTTATGGAGTCCTAGGGGTCTATGAAGCCGTGTTAGTAGAGTTTTATTTATGGGTATGAAGCGCGCCATACTTATAAATAGGAGGCTACAAGCATTTAGGAAAAGTCTCATTTTAAACTTACTTTAGATCGTACAGTAGAGCCTACCTCTATGAAATTATTTAATGTATTCGTTTCTCCAAAACTCACAAAAATGGCTCGTACTCGCAACTTTGACACCGACACTCAGGATGCTGCTCAAGAAACTATTGCTTCTATTATGGCTCAAGGTAGAACTAAGAAGGCTTCAACTCATAAAATGAAGGGTAAATCCACAAAGGGGGTTCAAGTACCCCGAGTTGAACATGAAGAAGGGGTGGAGCATGATGATCCAGAACCTCAAGATCCAGTGCCGCCCCCAATAGCAGCTCCGGCTCAGACAACTATATCTCCAGAGGTGGGCCAGATGTTTAATGTTGTCAACAGTGCTATGGAGATGTTTAAAGTCTTCATGGCCAACCAAAACGAGAGAAAGAGATGAGATTCCACCTCAATCAAATAGACAGAACAATTCCGAGTCCTCAAGAGTGAATGAATTTTTAAAGTTGAGTCCTCCATTGTTCCATGATTCTATAGCTGATGAAGATCCAATGTTGTGGCTGGAGGGTGTCAAGAAATCCCTCCGAGCGATGAAGGCATTTGATGATGAAGTTGTGGAGCTGGCTGCCTACCAACTTAGAGATGTGGCTGGCGCTTAGTTTGAGATGTGGGAAAAGGAAAGAGATGAAGATGATGGTCCGCCTACCTGGGAAGAATTTGAAGAGGCCTCCATGGCTAACTTTATCTCGGAAGAGGATAGGGAAGCTAAGGCTACAGAGTTCGAACAGCTCAAACAAGGGAATAAAAATGTGCAAGAGTACTACATGAAATTCATAAGGTTGGCTAAGCATGCTTCTCACATGGTTAAGACAGAAAAAGCAAAGATTCGCAGGTTTGTTGGCGGTTTGGCTTACCACATTAAGGATACGACATCAGCTGCAGTGGTAGGAATGACACCTTTCTCCTCTATTGTGCGATTCACCAAGCACTTAGAAAAAGACAGACAACAAAGGAGAGGAAAAAAAAAAGCCATAACAAGAAAGCCCGGACAACGGGCAGGTTTAATGGTACATCCAGTGGAAGTGGAAGTGGTTCCTCCAATAAGGAGTCATTAGCACTAGCTCAGTCCAGTCATCAGTTAGGTGGTGGGTCTTCCTTCAGACGTACTTAGAGTTATGGAAACCAGTCTCGCTAGAATAAGAATTTTAGGACATCATCCTCACATAGCCAGAGTCATGTTGAGCAACATTCACAACAACAAGGTCTCTGTGGAACATGTAAGCAACAACATTCAGGTCAGTACAAGCTCGGGTTTCATGATTGCTATCATTGTGGAAACATTGGTCATATAAAGGCCAACTTCCCAAAGTTGCGACGTAATTTCAGTAGGGGATCAACTCATCCTTCTAAATCCTCAGCTACTGCAGTTGCACCACCTCAGGATCATAGTTCTTATAATCAGACCGGTCATGGGGCAGGCAGAGGTGCAGAACGAGTTACTCAGGGAGGGGGACAACCCCGTTTGTTTGCTACACTTGATCGTCAGAGTGCAGAGGCATCTGCAAAAGTTATTACATGTATACTTCTAGTCTGCTCACATAATTCTTATGCCATAATTGATCCGGATTCAACGTTTTTGTACGTGACTCCATACTTTGCAAATAACCTTGGGCTAGAACATGAACAGCTTAGTGAGCCATTCCTAGTATCTACCCCAGTTGGCGAGTCAATGAAAGTCACAAGAGTCTATAGAGGTTGTATAGTTTCAGTTCAAGGTTGCAACACCGAGGCCGATCTCATAGAGTTAGAAATGGTGGATTTCGATGTGATCATGGGTATGGATTGGTTATTTTCCTGCTATGCCATATTAGATTATCGTGCTAAGTTAGTCAGGTTTCAATTTCCAAATGAAGAACTCTTAGAGTGGAAGGGTAGTTCAGCATCGCTTGTAGGTAAGTTTATTTCTTACCTTAAGGCACAACGAATGATCAGTAAGGGGTGTCTCGCCTATTTGGCTCACATTATTAATCCAGAATCAGACCCACCAGCTCTTCAGTCTGTGCCAGTTGTTAGAGAATTTCCAGAAGTTTTCCCAGATGAACTTCCCGGACTTCCTCCCGAAAGAATCATAGACTTTGGCGTTGATCTCATGCCACGCACTCAGCCCATATCTATACCTCCTTATAGGATGGTGTCACGGCCCAAAATTCAACTAGTCGTGATGGCACCTAACCCAACCCGCTAGGCAAGCCAACTTTCAACTATCCAATTCCAATAACAATTATTAAAGAAATTTAAGTAAATAATTATTTTAACCTTATACATTCCCCAAGAACTGATAGTACAAATCATGAGCTTCTAAGAATAGAGTATACAAAGCGGAAGTGAAATAAATACATAGTCTATTTGAATAATACATAAATAGAGCTTTTATAAATCTAAGGCTATCCTGAACAAAAGGCAACTACAACAGAAACGCAGGTACATCTTCAAGTCCTGCAACCATCGAACACAGCAATAACAACAACCAACATCTGCACGCAATGTACAGAAGTGTAGTATCAGTACAACCGACCCCATGTACTGAGTAAGTAATAAACCTAGACGTAGGTTGAAAGTAGTGATGAGCTTCCACCAAGGTCGGGTCCAAAACTAATAGTTCACAACAATCCATTACAACATAAAGCAAATAATACCAGAAGTAACTCAGGGATAAAATACCCAGCCAAATCATGATTTCAAAAAAAATATAGTTCTTTCTTTCAAATACATCAGTGAAAACCCAAATCGTTTGCTGGAGTTGCCAAAAATATGAATAGTTTGAAAACAATAAATTTCTCCCAAAATCTTGTCAATAATAAATAAGATGTTTTATTTTCCTTCCGGATAACCCATGTAAAACAAATGCATCACTATGCCCATCTGTCAAAAATAATGTGTGAGAAATCATGAA